TTTTTCTTTTTTCTTTTTTCTTTTGGGCCACGGATTCTGGCTGAACAATTTGCCAGTTTGACAACTTAATCCAGGTAGAAGATTTGACACATTAAAACTTCTATTTGATTAGATTTGCATGACACATGTAGGTTTCAAACTTATAAGTCATACCCAAAGGACAAGGAGCAAGTGAGAAAACATTAATATTGGAAAATATAAACAGGCATGGATAAAAATTATTCTGAAAGAGTAGGAAATTAGCATATGATTACAAGTAAAAAATAAAGTTATTACAAATGACCAAGAGTTTAGTTTAAACTAAGGAAATAGTGAATATAAGTTTAACACGGTATATTGATATAGGAATGAGGCACTGCATAGGAATTTTTTATTTGAGGGAAGGAAGATATTGCAATATGTGAAAGGAGATAGAATTATTATGATAAAATAGGCATTAGAAAAGTAGTGTATTAATATCATAAGTAATTATCATGGCATGGGATCTGCAAAACCCCCACACCTAAAGTGCAATGAACAATGGAATGAAATAATTACCCTCCCTTCAAATATAAAATTGTTTCAGGGTGGTAGGTGAAGTTGACATAATTGGTCAAGTCTAGCATAGAAATATAGAGTTCATAAAAGGAAAAACAAGAAGAAAAAATTTTACAAGCTCCTAATCCAAATTATCTATTTCTGTTGTGTTGCCCCAAATGGTTGTAGGTGAAGTTGATGCAATTGATTTAGAAAAGCTAGAACAGGGAAGCAAGAAAATACTCTATGAGTGAGCTTAGAAAGATCTAAAAAGGTTACAGTTAGGAAGGAAAAAGAGTGGAGGAGTGGAATTAGCACACCATGCAGAGGTGGCACCATCATTAGGTTAGGCATTCACAAAAGGTCTAGGCAAAAATTAGGAAAACTATGAGAAAGAGGACACGAATTGTTTTGTCACATGCAGCACAGATGCAAGGACATTTTGGCGAACAAGAATGAGTTTTCTTTTTTATTTTTTTTTTTTTTTTTTTTCTCTTGTGCAAATGTCCGGACTATGTGATGGAAAGGCTTAACGTTACAACCTTAAACACAGTGGGATGAAGGCATGAATCCATCACATGTACATTTACATTAGAAAATCAATTTGGTCTTAGCTTTGACCATGAAAGACTACTTTTCTTCCTGGCATATATATACATACATATATATATATATATATATAAATCAATATAATTAATGGGCAAAAAAAAAAAGACCAGTTAGGGAAGAATTAAAAATGAATACATAAACTAATACAGGAAAAAAAAAAAACACACACACACACACACACACACAAGCGGTTTAATCTTGAAGCATGGACGCTCACATGCAAGCCCAAACACCAGTCCACAAGAATACATCAGTATCCAACAAATTGTACGATACCCTTTATTGAATTATGAAACTGGGACTTCAAGAACACAAACATCAAGCTTTGAGGTTAGATGAAGTGCGGCACTTTTTTTGTAAACATTTAAATATGATATATTAAGACCCAAAATGGCCTTAGATGCTCCATTAAGACCTCCAATTGGATTTTATATATTTAAAGAAAACATATCTAATAAGTCAAGGGAATTACTCCTATACCAATTTAGTTGTCCTAATTTAACCATGCATGAATTTTTAGGTAATACTTTTTTATAGTATATAAATAGCAAATGAATTTTTTTTTTTTCCTGATAAAATGAAACTACCAACAAGATCTATGTAAAGGGGAAAAAAAATTAAAATTATCATCACATACTATAAAAAAACATTACCCAAACATACATGCACGGTCAAACTAGAACTACTAAATTGGAACAGAGGAAGTAATAAATTCACCAAAATAACAAACATAATGATATGAACGAATCATTGACAAAAGTACAGGATAACATAATAGCCAAAATCATTATATTGGATTTCAAATTAAAATTAAATTACTCATGAACTTATCCCTTCCCTTAGATTAGATACATCATATACCACACTGCAGCAGCCCCCTAGAGGTTTCTATAAGCCATGCAAGGACTGGTTCTAGTGCCCAAGATCTAATTTAGGATATGTCGAATGATAAAAGGCTATTTTTGGAGATAAAATGGGCCGTATATTACCATCATCGACTCTTTATTATTTTTTTTATTTTTTGATGGGCAATAATGTGTACTTCACTTATTAGTGAGTTGATATCCTCCTTTTATTTAGACACAGTTCTTAGAATCTCTAATTGAAATAGTAGCTTTACACGTGTAGTTTTTTTTCCAGCAAAATAGTACTCCAGTCCATAGATATTATTCCAACAATTTTCTACCCTTTCACCCTATTTTTCAACACCTGATCTCAGCTTTACTTCCTCTCTTTTTAAACCGTACAAAACCTTCTTCCCAAATCAAGCCTACATCAGATCACCCCAAAATTTCAATCCTAAAACCCAAATTTACTGTTACATGTACCATTTGAAGAAGCAGAACAGTCCCTACCTCTTAAATTTCATGTTTTTTTTGAACCTATGCATAAACTCTATTCATAGCTTCCCATTTCTCATCAACTACATACTCAACAATATTAACTTACCGACTTCCAGCGAGTTACCCTTGTTACAGGCTTACAGAAAAAGCAAAAGATGATTTAATATGCCCCTTATATGTTTCAACCATGCTACAGCCATCCAACCATTAAGAAACTCTTAGACCATTCACATGCTAAGTTAACCAATGACTTAATAACCTAAGCCTCTACACATATAACCAATTATATAAATGACTCTTTAGAGCAATATGCAGCCTTCAAGTAATTCAAAATTCTAATAGTCAACAGTACTTTAGGCGAAACCAAATGAAGAGGAAACATTTAACATGAGGTCTTTTTTTCCCCAGTGGGGTGCACTTTGACCCAAAATCATTTTTGAAGAACCAGCTTCAGAGTATTATTGCCACCATTCTACTGATTAAACTGTATAAAAATGAAGGAAAGAAATCATGGAACTGTCACCCCTAAAATCAGCATAAACCTGCATATCCATTAGATCCTGTATCTCTATGTTCATACTTTGGGAGTGAAGGTAAATGTTGTAGCTAACTCTACAAAACCTCCTTATTTAATTGACCAAATTACAACTCGAACAAAACTGCTTCTTAACATGTTTTGACTCATAACTAAACCAGAATCTCCAAAGCACTTCTCTGTCAGGTACTCATCAGTTCATAGATTATGCCCATTACCATAATGAGTTTATACCGTAGAAGCAATATTTAAAATATAAAATAGATGTCATTTTATTGCAATATTAAAAATATCCAGAAATAAGTTTCTGAATGTAGAATTAGCATTTGAGAAGTCATTTTTAAATGGTTATTAATAAAGTCATCCTCAAACTGAAAAGGCAAAATGATTGACAGAAACCAAAGGATGGATAAACAAGGGTGATGTGAATAAAATAAATAAATTAAAAATAGCAAATGGCAAGATGGGAAAAAGATGTAAAAAAGACAAAAGGCCAAAACCATCCATAGAAACACCATTTTGCTTACTGGCCAAAAACCACTTCATTCAGAAAACAAAGCTTTTTAATATTTATTGGAAATCTTAATAATTTGAATCCAGTCCATTGAATCAAAATAATTTCAAGCAGAATAGCAAACTCAACCAAAATGAAGGCTTCAAGATTCAATAATGTATGAATCAATGGTCCAGATTAATAAGTGTGAGCACCAGTGAAGAAAATAAAATTAATTTCCATCAAAATAAACAAGCACCACAGAGCTGCCAAGCTCAATCCTATCAAAGTTCCACCTTAAACTTGCAAAATAATAACAATACAAAAAGATTCAAGGAAATGGCCCCTTACATGCTATATCACAACAAAAACAAAAAACTGACTTCAAGGCTTTAAACATTCCCCTAAAATGTTTACATTCTCATACCTAAAACCAAGATATAAATCTACAATATTTTCCCCCTATTTACACAATTGCATCTTAGCATCCTTCTCCCCAAGGTAGCCACTATCCATGAACCCTAAATGCAACTATTACACAAAAAAAAAAAAAAAAATCAAAGAACTCAACTAGTTTAAAATTGGTCTTATTTGAGAGTAGGTAAAGCTATATATGCCTAGGGTAGAAGAAACTAAATAACTCCAACTTTAAGGCTTTCTCGGTACACAATAATTTAAATACCACCTACATATGTTATTAAGTAACATCCTTACCCTATTTTAACACAACTCAATTATGTTATTAAGACAACTTCATTTTAACAAACACACACCCAAAAAAAAAAAAAAGGGATAACCAAAATCCGCCTTTGATTCTTAGTGACCTTATGGCATATAAAATCATAGAATGTATAAATGTAACAGCCTTCAGTTTCTAAATATCAAGTAATCAGGCCAAAGGAAGGTATCTAGGCCAGTCAAGGAGACATCATGGACTGAAATGAAGAATCTCTAACAAAGTTCACAAATCTTTTTCCGACTTCCTCACTTGTAAATCCAAGCTATACAACTGATACTTTTTAAATCCAAAAAGAGATTTTAATTATCTCAAACAACTTAGCTTTGAATTTGATGATTATTTCCAAAAGCTGATGCCATAAAATATCATGCTTTTCATTGGAACAAGCCCAAATTCACCTCAGATTTTAACTGCCTCTAACTAAGTCCATAGACAACACATAGAACCAGATCACTAACTTGTAAATATCAATATAATCAAAAAAAGAAAATAAGGAAAAAAAATCATAAAAAAAAAACTTAAAAATAAGAAACTCCATTGGCCTCACAAATGCCTAAGTAGTGGGAAACAGGAATTCAAGAAGTAAATATAACAAACAGAAGAAACACAATACGCTAGTAAATTCACGTTGATAGAGAAAGATCATCAAACAAAACTATACATCATATACAAACTGCAAACACATCGACATTGTAAACATAAATCCCTAAGCACTTACCAACGGAGTGCAAAGCCTCAAACCAGAATTCAACCATTCAGGTTTTCTCAACTCTTCTCCTCCTAAAATCGGAAGTCACCGGCGAATGAAAAACCGTCGACCTGATACCGATCGCGCGATGCAAAGTCAACATCACTTTACATCCGTTCAATAAGGATCGGAAGCGAAAAGAAGAGCGGAAAAGAAGAGTTTTCAGCGTAACAAACCGGAAGGAGGTGAGTAACGAGCTCCAATCGCCATTAACACACTGGAAAAGAAGAACAGAGTGCAGAGATGTCATCATGCATAAAGAAATCTATCAGTGTTGGGCGGCCGGAGCAGAAAGAACAGACTCAGGAAAAGAAACAGTATGTTGGAAAAAAGGGGGGCGACAAGGACAGTGGAATGAGCTTCAAGATCGTCGTGTGTAGAGAGAGAAAAATATCTTGAAGGTGCATGCATCTATTGAAAGGGTTAAAGCCAGATGTAGTCCCTATACTATGTATTTTAGTTCATTTTTATGTTTTTAATATCCAAATCATTCATTCTAGTCCCCCTACTCTTTTTTATTATTATTCTTTTGATAATCCCTTGTAATCTTTGATAGTGGGGTCTTTCTTTGTTGAGGCCAGGCAGAATTGTATTTCTAATTTGATTAGTATTTTATCAGTTATGATGTTTGCATGATGTATTTTTTTTTTTAAATAACTAGTGATGATATTTAGAAATATTAATTTATAAGCCAATTTTAATCTATCAAGTAATAAATATTAATAATTATTTCAATTATTAATTGTTCTTAATAATCAAATTAAATAGAATTAGTAATTTATAAGCCAATTTTAATCTATTAAGTAAT